CACGGAACACCACTACATGCAATACCTACTGTGGCTGTCTATGTTGAGATGCAAACTTTAGTCACACAACCTAGTTACCTCCTGTCTTGTGATGCCTGAATCAGACTGGCAGCTTCATTTCATAAGATTCATTTGATGGCTTAAATTTAGTTCAAGGGTCACCCACAACACTCAATTGAGCCGAAGATGCTACTGTGTGAAACCGATCTCTCAAATGTTCCCTCCAATTGCTGCATGTATTCACCAAACCTGAGTCAACCAAGAGAGTTTCCTGTGAGTTGCTAGCACTGCTGGAGCCTAGTGATGGTGGACTGGTGGTCATGAAATGACCAAGTGGCATATTACTGTGACATTCCTGCCAGCCACAGTGCTTTCCTTCTTGCTTTGACCCAACCAAAGCATTGTTGCGGTGTGATTTAAACATGTTGCTTCTATGTGATATGGCCAGCAGCCAGCAGCCAACTCACAACTGGCAACCCACTGAAGCTAAGCAGGTGTGAACCTGGTCAGTACCTGGATATGAGACCTCCTGGGAAAAACTAAGGTTTTAGTGGGGCCAGCAGGGGGCGCTCACCCAGTGGTACATGTGGGTCCTAATGCCCCAGTATAGTGACGGGGACACTATACTGTAAACAGGACACTATACAGTTGAGACAACCGAGGTCCTGACTCTCTGTGGTCATTAAAAATCCCAGAGCGTTTCTCGTAAAGAGTAGGCCCGGTGTCCTGGCCAAATTTCCCATTGGCCCTTACCAATCATGGCTTCCTAATAATCCCCATCTATGAATTGTCTACATTACTCTGCTCTCCTCCCCACTGATATCTGATGTGTAGTGAGCGTTCTGGTGCACTATGGCTGCCGTCGCATCATCAAGGTGGATGCTGCCCATTGGTGGTGGTGGAGGGGAGTCCCCATTACCTGTAAAGCGCTTTGAGTGGAGTGTCCAGAAAAGAGTAATATAAGTATAAGCAATTATTAATTATTATGTGTGTGAATATTATCTCAAACTCAAAATCCACTCACTCCGAAACAAACAACACTCCCCAGAAAGGGGGTGTCACACACTTGCCTACGCAGGAGGCGTGTCCATGTGGGGGAGTCTGGAAAAGCGGATGTGAATTAGCCACGCCCCCCCGTAATCAATTAGGTGGTGTGTAAAAGTCTAGAGAAAGGCCAATCCTGTTATGGGCTCCAATGATTGCTATAACTAAGCATCCTTGACCAAAGCCTGCTCTACCATGTGAGAAGGGAAGTGTGTTCTCCCGAAACACTGTGGCCTGGACTGCTTGCCAGCTTGGGAAAATACACAGAGGGATGAGTCACAGCCTCATGATGGGGCATGGCTAATTCCACACCAGTCTTTACAAACAGCTCAACCTCAAGTGGAATTCCACCTTCTTCTTCCTGCGTGCCTTGCACTTAATGAAGAATGCCCAGGTGTATCCAAGTCACCAGCACATACCTGTTCATAATCACCCAGCACCTCAGCAGCCCAAAATGGCAGCCTTTCATGCAAAACCTCCCTGGAACACTAAAAGCACTCCCTCCAATCCAAAGTGGAGACTGTCAGATGTGCAAAACAGGTACAAGAGCTCTAACATGTTCTGCAAACACAACAACTACTCAACATCATATTTGAAGAAGTTGAACTGGGGTTCATTTCCGGGCTGGGAAGATTTTTAGGTGCTCTTTTTCCGTATTCTCCCTACAGTAAAGTAGGCTTTCCCGGTGTTCTCATTTTCCAAAGAAAATGCAGGAAAGGTTAACCTACTGTTTGTCCTTAAATTGTAACTATGTGACAATTCTGTCACTATGTTCTGTTTGTGCCCTGCAGTGGACTGCTATTCAGTCAAAGATGTCCTGCCTTGATCCCACTGCTCACAGTGTAGTCTCCAGGTCATTGTGACAAAGAATAAGTGGCTTTCTGATAAAGGATGGACTTAATGGTACAAAACAGCTGCATTTCCTGCTGATGTTTTTCATTAGCATGTACACATATCAGACAGACTTACTTCTATCTCAGAATCAGATAAGTCAAGAAATGTCAGAACCTGAGCTGAGTAATGAAAGACGTGTGCAAATCTGACTGTACGGTCCTTTCAAACAGGCTAACCTGAAAAGGGTAGAGTAGGAGTAAATCAACTCAAAAAAGCTCATAACAATAAACACCTAGAATGGGCACAAGACCACAAAGATTGTGCACATGGAAATTAATATTTTCAACAAATTGCCTGTTACAGGTTGCCAAAATACTGGACAATGCCTACCAGAAAACACAGAACTAGTCAAATAAATCCTTGCCAGTGCACAATCTAGGCACATTTAAAGAGAAATAATTTCACTCCGCTCTTCAGTGTCATGCAATACCGCTGGGAAGACAAAATGAAGGTGAAAGGTTTGTTTAAAATTATATAATGGGATAATGACCCTAAACAAAATAGACACACTACAGTATACCTACTGTAGATAAAAAAGAAGACCAACCTGTTCTCATTAAATTGCTGTGTTAGCCTCTAACGTTACCTTACCTTAACATAAATGAAATGTTTTTAGATTGGCTTGACGGGAGAGTATAAAAAAGATTTCAGCCACCATATACTGTATATGCTCTCACTGATGAATAGAACAGAAAGAGCAAAAAATACTCTCTCTAGAAGGGGGGTAAGGACTGAATACGAAATTAAGTAAAATGCAATTACTATTACAATAGGGATGAAGCACAAAGTAAATAACCATAGCAGTTTCATTTGAGACTGGTTATATAATAAAATGCAGATACACAATAAAAAGGCTGTGAATAATGCCACAAATAAAAATTGAATTAAAAATGATTCTGATAATCAAAAGAATTTTCCTGCCCTATTGCTTTATTACATATTAAAGTACCTTTCATCCCAAGTCTATAAACCCAACAGAATGTACCAGTATTTAAAGTTAAATTCTTTAATAACACAGAACCCTCATTACTTTGTATTGTAACTGCAGAATAAAAAGAGTGCCTGAAACACAGAAATGCACTAAGAAGTAGACTAAACAATAAAATAAATCTGCCATACAAACTGGAGAGCAGTGTTCCAATGTTATATCCATCCGTTTTCTAATCAATTTATCCAGTACAGGGTTGGGGGGGGGGGGTCGAAAAGCCACATGAGCCCAGGGAGAACGTACAAACTCCACGCAGACAGCGCTCCAGGAATTCAATACAGAGCCCCCGGCGCTGCAAGGCAGCAACGTTACCAATGCGATACCGTGCCGCCAGCAGTCCACTAAACCACACCTTCCCCTTCTCCACAGAACAATGTCAACTCTGACACAGTTACCCACCGCACACGAAACCAACGGAGTACACGGGGGCTTCCCGTGACTGATGCATTCGGAAGAGTTCCATTAAACCCAATTACAGAAGCGGGAGGCACTATCTGCAGAAAATCTATCTGCTCATCGCGGAGCTTCTCCACAAAAAGTGAAAAACATTGTTTGCAAAGGACCAATGCCCAGCGCCAAAACCGTTTAGAAAGACCACACAAGGACGCTGAGATTTAAGACGCTAGAAACCAAATAAGCACCCTGGCATTAAAAAAAGTTACTAGGAGACAAACGAAAAGGTCGATTGTAGCAATAATACAAAAATTACCCCCCCCCCCCTCCAAAATAAATCCTTATTAACAACTACTGTACTGTGCTGTGCTTGCAGGTGCGATCGTTGTTCTTTCAATGCTTAAACCAGGCATATGAAATCTTCCAAATTAAAAATGTTTTCTTGTTTTTGTAGTTGTTTTTTATCAAAATAATACATCTTATCGATAAACGCCGGCAATCTCTAGCAGAATTTACGTCATGCTGAAGTCAATCGGGTACAAAATGACTAGTAATATTAAGAGCAAGCCTGCAAAACTTCAACATTCCCATTATCTTGCTACAATGCTAAGAAATTAAAAGGCTTTGACATATTCGGAAATAACTATCATATTACGCACTTAACCCCCTTTAAAATCCCAAAGCGTTACAAAACGATAAGTTAAATATCAAGCTTCAAAATTAAATTTAGGCGTGCTAGCATACTGTCGGTATAGTGTGTACTGTCGATGGCCTACAAAATAATGCAAAATCTACTTCCATTACAACCTTGGTCGGTTTTTGTTAAAGTTAAAATGATCATCGCATTATGCACTGGCGATGACTGCAACACGCCGCTCAATGACCTGACTTCAAATACAGTATGTTTATACGGCTGCCTTCCCACTACTTTAAACATATATCGATGTTCTGCTTTACATTCAACTTTACCTTAATACATTTGGTAACATGCGTTTTTCGGGACGTTGAGAAATGTTACTCGGAATTGAAACTATTCCCCTTATTTTCCCCCCTAAAACGTCCACGGCAACTTACAGTAACAAATCCAGTTACGAGTCCTGTAGTAGGAAGTCAACGCATAGCGTCCTAAATAGTATTTTTACCTACTGTACGAGCTGCAATACAGGGCTCGGCACACAGTACAGTGCGCTTTCTTGTGCGCCTGCGGCTTGTAGTTATTATATAACATTTCCCCATTCAGCAACACGCTATACTGCCGCCGATTATTTCCTTCTACATTGTCACCACTCACGAAAAGCTGGAGTTAGATATGCATTCTAAAAGTAAGATCCTCCCAACCTCCGTAAAACACAAATAGAAAAACTTTTAAATACATGCTGTTTCATTTCTCAAAACTCGGAAGAACTAATAAAAGCAAAATCCCTGCCACTGAAATATAAAACCTGTTTTTCTCTCTCTCTCTCGAAAGTGTGTTTTTTAAATATCATGTTGTAGCAGCGGTCTTGCAGAGATTCGTCACCTCCAGTGACAAAACACACAGAAAGGGGACATACACGTGTTGATTATTTGATTATTCCCCGACCCAATCCGGCATGGTGTCTGCCTGGGCTCAGGGGCAGAGGCTCGATGACAGCTGTTCTGTCAAAACGCACGGGACACCGGAGCGCTGCGCCCGTCTTACCTGATCCGTCCGTCTGCTACTGCGGTTCTCTTGTACCTCCCGAGACCCTCATGCACGGATCTGCGAATGCTCCGACGGGTAAACAGTCCTTTGCGTTTTCACCAGAAGCTGTTTCGCAAACTTGAACTGCTAATTCAAAATCCGCTTTCCAAAATCCATCTCGCCTTCAGCGATCAGTTGCTTCCAGGAGCCAGTCTTTCTCCTCTGCACGGTAGTGTGTTACGCAAGGACTTTGGACTCGGCGTTAGCTTTTCGTTAAAAAGAAACGAGTGTTGCATTCAGTTTGTAATTTCGTTGTTGGGACTAGTCATATATATATTTTTTTTAATTCTCACTTGGGTCTCTCCCCTCCGCCATTTTCACCCTCCACACAAACAACAACAAACAGGACAAGGCCGCGCACGCCCACTGCGCGCTGAGGCGGGGACGAGGCCGTCTTTCGCACAAGCAGGAGGTCCTGGACGAGCAGAGTGAGAAAGAGTAACTTTCACTGATAGGGGCGTCAGTTAAAGCACCAAGTCAGTTCTTCCAGTTAGCAGAATAGATACACTTTCACGAGCTTTCTCTCTTTGGTTTGTTGCAATCTCAGAGTAAAACGTCTCTGAAAAGAACAGATAACAATGTCCATTTGCATTTTAACAAAATCTAAAAATAAATCACATAAAATAACATAAGAATATCTTTATTCATGCTTTTGAAGATTTTGAATACAGCAGTATCTTTTCTGTGTTGGATGACCAACACTGAACACAATATTCAATGCATTCATACAAGTGCATTGTACAATTTTGACATTTGATTGAAATCCTACCTTTTGACTATATATCCCAACATCGTTTTTGCCTTTTTTGTATTGCTTCCCCATACTGATTCAAGAAGGTGAAAAGGATATATTCACATGAACATCTGTAACGTTTTAGCATGTAGCAACTTCAAGTGCCATGTTTGTATTTGTAGTTTGTTTTTGCTACCTTAACATAACACCCAACACTTACCTAAATTAATTGACATTAACCAGATGTCTGTCCAGTCTTAAAGTCTATCTCAACCTTTTTTGAATTTCCTTTGCAACTTTTCCAGTATTAGCATATCCCCCTGTTTTGGTCTATGTAACGCTTGACTAGTTTACTAACTATACCAGAATCTAAACTGCTCATATTAAATCAGGAATAGTATCTCTTTGACCCTTCTCCAATTACATCGCCACAATTTGAGTTTTCACTCCTTATCCATAGTCTTTGTCTTTTGATCCACACAGCAGTTCTTAATCTAAAAAATAAATAGTAAAAAAAATAAATAAAAGTATCACATCATCTTCATTGAATGTCTACAGCTGTGTAAAAAGCCTTCTGAAACTCTATAATCTATTTGTGTATCAATTATTGGTGTTGTGTCAACTCTTATAAATAAGTTAACCAAAACCTTACCTTTTCTCAATCCAAGCTGACTGTTCCCCGGAATACAATTAGTTATAATTAATTGCATGTAACAGAATGACAGATAACAGAATTATTGGTCTACAATTACTTTGTTCAACAACTTTCCTTTCAATGGGTATCACTCCTGTTTTGAGTGAACTGTTGGAAAGGTTCTGCTAATGACCTACAAATAATATCTCTTTGTACTGTTGCTTGAATCTCATCAGGAGATTTGTTTATTATTTGTGCTTCTAATGTTTCTTTATTAGCCCTACACAATTTCTTGCATTAGGAATGCGTCTTTTCGCATATCCCAGCTTTTCTCCATGGAGACACAGACACAGAGACAGGGAGAGAAGCTTGGGATCAGAGCGCAGGGTCTGCCATTGTACGGCGCCCCTGGAGCAGTTAGGGTTAAGGGCCTTGCTCAGGGGCCCAACGGAGTAGGATTCCTCTGCCGGCCGCGGGATTTGAACCGGCAACCTTCCAGTCACAGGCGCAGATCCTTAACCATAATACCAGTGGCACACCGACTTCTTCTATGCAAATATTGTTTAATGTAGAACCTTGTCTTTCCTCAGTCTGAGGCATGTTGTTCTAGTGCTCTCTTGACATTTCTAATATCATTTTTACCTGTGCTTAAAGTTTACTAAATTCATTTTCTTTAACTAGATAGCTTTGAAAGTGTTTCGTTTCTATATGTATTTTACATATCATTAATTGATATGTATCAGTTACATACATGTAATTATATCAATTTGGAGCCGTGGTAGCTCAGACGGCAAGGGCGTTTTGCTCCTGACTGGTCCTGGGTTCAATCCCAGGTAGGGGCAAGCGATGTAGCTTGCTCTAATTCCTTCCAGACAGCTCCCAGTTCCACTCCAAATGAGTACCAGGGGTTAATCCATCCGGGGGTAATAGGCCAGCCGGAGCGTGAAACTGACCACATCACCTCCACCTCCAGTGTCGGATGGTTGAGAAAAATGGTGGCCCTTGCCCCTCCTATTTCCCCATGGACCTTTATGGCCTGAAAAGGCGACCAACCCTACCTATCTAATTATATCAATTACAGTACATATATGCCTTCACAGTATTATTCACACGTACAGATAGCAGCATTATTATCACACAATGAAATCTTCATTTTTCTTGGCACAGGAGCAGATCTTGATTGTCCCTGGTTACTTGTTTTTATACTGTTTCCTGTATTTGGCAGTTATAAAACCACAGACTTTTTTATAAACAGCTGTTCATTTAGTTAACTCTCGATTAGTCAAAACGGGTACAATTTAGTGTGTGAACAAGTGCTAAAAGAAAGCAAAGGACAAAACTTGAGGGTGCTGTCATTTTAAAAAGGTGTCAGAAAATGTTGTGTTTAAACAATAGTGAATGTTCTTTGATGTTCTTTTATGCATGTTAAGGACTGGTCAAATGTAAAACCACTTAGTGTAGCTTTTCTGGTGTGTCAGAATTTATTTTAAAGTAAAGGGGCGGTGCGGTGGCTAAGGATCTGCGCCTGTGGCTGGAAGGCCACCGGTTTGAATCGCACGGCCAGCAGAGGACTCCTACTCCATTGGTCCCCTGAACAAGGCCCTTAACCACAACCGCTCCAGGGGTGCTGTATTAAATGGCTGACCCTGTGCTCAGACCCCCTGTCTGTGTCTCTCGTGGAGAGCAAGTTGGGGTATGTGAAAAGACAAATTCCTAATACAAGAAATTGTATATGGCCAATAAAAATGATCTTATCTTACCCTGATATTCACTCTCTTTGTCATTCACTCTGACCTGAAAACTGACAAGGCTGCCTGTTTGCCGATTACTCATTCAAACTGACACATTTGTCCATCTGCCTGTCTGGCACCATTCATGCATCACATTTCATTAAATAAACAAGCCATGTGGAACAGAAAGATATACAGTATAGTCCATATAGAGCTAACAAAAACAGCCTTCATCTGATAACACCTACACAGCATATACATTTCACCCATTGTACGTTATTCCTATTTGAGGATTATATGGTTAACATTGCACTCTTTTTTGGAAAACAAATCATTTAACCACAACATTCATCCTTTATCTTGTGTATTTACCATTACATCCTGTTGTTACAAAAAGTGGTTTTGTGGCAACAGCTTAAATACAAGTATTTTTTCAAAGTTAAATAATAACATACTCCCACTGGTCAGGGAATACTGACAAAGGTCATTTGACTTCTTTAATTTTCCATGAACAATCTAGTAGCAGAGAAATATGCAATAATTGAAAAGATGAGTGTTAATGACAGAACACAACACAAAAAAACTATATTTTGAACTGTAATGAGGTCTTAGAGCCCAACAAATTACATCCAACCTCTGTCATCAGATCCCTAACATTAACTACAACAATGCAGTCAGAAGTGTACCTAAATGTTGAAGAGAAAGTAGGTCTGGTTTCATAAAAGGACTAATCTTCCACAGGTTAGCCTGTCCTCTAAACTGATAATAAAATAGTGGAATTGTTTGGCCTCTAATAAGAATGCTTGCAATTAATCAACAGTAAGAATTTCATAAATTTTCATCAAGAAAAACAAAGTGCAGATTAATTAGTGCTTCTAAAAATAAATAAAAAAACTGTATCTTTCCTGAATATTTCCTTAAACTTTGACTTAGTGTCCCTTCAGTGCCCAGTGTAAGGCAGATGTTGGTTCCTTAAAGACAATGTAGTAGAACTGTGTTGTAAAGTTGTCACTGACTCTTTTCTGCTACAGTACATATCCTTCTTCTCTTTTTAAAAAAGTTATGTCATCTATTTAAGCATAGCACATTGTCACATAAGATGCTGGTCATCTTCTGGAAATTCCAGCCTCAGAAGTTGTGGTGCTGTTTGGTCTCCTCTCAGTCGTGGTCTGCTTAATTCATTAAAAATCACTGAGTTTCTGGACTGCTTATCCAGATGCTCAGATATGTTTTAACAGATACACTTTCTCTCAGCACCCACAGGGCTCTTGAATCATCCTGAGTTGTTGTGTGTTTACCTAGATAGGTACTTTATTGTCCACTACTGTGGAAATTTGCCTTTGGTTTCTCCCATAAATGTACAAAACGCACAATTAAAACATAAAAGTCACATAAAATAATATGAAGTACATTAAATCACAACAACACTATGTAATACATAAATGGATAAATGAATAGGTATTAGGGGGACTATATTTACGTACATGAGCAGTTTTATTACAGAGGGGACAAAAGACTTCTTACTGTATAGATGTTTTTATTTGAATTTGGTACCCTCTACAGTCTTCCTGATGGGAGCATTATGAATTGAGGGTGGAGAAGATGCATGGAATCTGTTTTGATGTTCCTCACCATTCTGAGACCTGTATTATTGTTAGGTGCACATTGTCTGTGTTCTCGTGTGTCCTGCAATGTGTCTTGAAGTGTGGCATTTGTTAAGAGAGCAGAGAATCCAATCTAAGCTGTAAATCCTCCTCTCATTAACAAGATGCTGTTCTCACTTGCTATTTAGGGAACTTTGATGAGTTCTCAGTCTAGGCTGTAACTGACTTCCCTAGAAATAATTCTTTAATGGCTTTACTCCAGCAAACAGGCTTTAATGAAGACTCCAGCTCTGTAAGTGAATTTACTCCTCCCTGGTTTCCAATCTTTAGTTTAAGAACCCCAGAGAGATAAAAAAAAAAGTGGACAGCATAGCAACTAAGATTGTTGCTATTGGACATAATTAATTTCTTAAGACCTGGGACATTTTTACTGTGATCATCAAGTCAGGTGACCCAATCAATTAATTTACAGATTATTTGGTACAAAAACCTTTCGCCCTAAAGGACGAACCACCCATCCAGTTTTAATAACCACTTAATCCAATTCAGAATTGTAGTGAGCTAGATCCTAACCTGGCAGACAATCGCTGCAAGGCACAATATACTCTGGATGGGACACCACTCCATCATGGCACAGAATTTAAAGGTTCTGACAAACCTACAGTAGACATTTTATCCTGTAGCACAGAAGGGCAAGCAGCCTCCGCAAAGACAGCACCTCATGCCTGAACTAAGTTTAGGATCCAAGAGCTGTGAGTCAGAAAAACCTAACAGCCTCTGCTCTTCACTCTCAAGGACCAGAATTCTCACAAATGAGCACATTACCCGCTAAACTGATCAACAAAACTAAAAATATTCATAATCTTTTGAAAAACAGGTGAATTTGGGTTCTGGTTAGGACTTAACCATGAACGTTTCCAGGACTGGGGTTGAAGACTCTGGGTTTTCTGGAAGTTAAAAAGTTTTGTAGTTTTATGTAAAGTTGGAAGGGCAAAGACCACGTTTTGTACACGTGATTGATTAAATTGTGTCATTTGTTATGTTTTTGGGTATATTAGCTCACTCAAACCGGCAGTGGAGTACATCAGAATGCAGTACTGCTGGAGGTCAGAGGGTGGCGTAAACACGTGGAGAGCAAACTTAGTGGATGAGTGACATCATTTGTGTGCGACAGGTTGGAAAGATGGCAGATTCGGAGTAAGTGAAGTGTTTGCGTTATAAAATCTAAGTTAATCTTCATTAATAATGCATAGTTTCATCATTTCGTTCTGAAACATATGTTCACTGAAGTTAATCGATTATTTTAGTGTGTATATTTTTGCATTGCGACCTAAGCTTTTCTCGGTGAGGTTAAGACGGCTGTTCCCCCATACCTGATATCTAAATGTAGTTCTTTTTTTTTGTTCTCGAACATTTTTTAGAGATGTCGAATTTCCCTGAGACCAATTAATAGATATCATTAAGAGAGAAAATATCGTGCTTGTTTGTTTGAGAGACACTGCTTCTAAATTAAGTACTTCTACGTAAAAGATGGTGAAGGGTACCTGAACTCGTGCTTTATAAAGTTGAGGCGCAGTACTTTAACATTTGCAAACCTTTCTTGTTCCCCAATGTTTAATTGCAGACAGTGCTCTTTTTTAAATGAAACGTTCGGGACCGTTTGAAAAACAGACCCAAATCTTCAGGTTGTATGGACATATATAAATCCCGCTGCTTCTCTACTAATGTAGTTTGTGTGTACCTTGAGAAGGACAGCATGTTTATCAGATTGCTTTTACTCGGACCTTATCGATGTCGATGTGTTGAAATGTCCACAAGGCGGCTGAACTTTGATGCATAAATGTCAGAGAACAAGTGAAACGCATAGAGGACGATCTGGTTTTGTTTCAAACATTCTTCCTGACTTTGTCTGCAATTTGGTCCTTAGGGTGAAAAAGAAGATCAAATTTGTCCCCGAGAACCTCCTGAAGAAGAGGAAGACCTATCAGGCCATCAAAGCCAATGAGGCCAGACGTGCTCTTCTGGAGAAGAAAAAGGTAGGCTGGCATACAAATCTGTGAAAAACTGTCATGTTTACATTCATGGAAACAATAGAAATGAAAATCTTTTAACCTGCATGGGAGAAAGAGGAATATTCTGCCACAACAGAGAAGAGGAAATTCATTGCTGTTGGAAGGTTACAATACAATTCACTTCACGTCGTGGTAGGGTGACAATTTAAAACTTTAGGTGGAAACTTTCTTACCTCATTAGCCATAAGTAGTGGAAGAAAACCATGTCCTTAATAGATATTTTTAGAGAATTTTTTTTTTCAAAATGTTTTGGAATCTGTTTTTGTAATGTATTTAGGGACTAAAAAAGAGCTTCCTGTGTGTGGTCCTCTTGACAGTCATTTCTCTGCAGCGTTTAGTGCTGAATCCATGAAAAGTAATTTGTAAACTGAGAGCTTCACAGCCTTTTTCACTAAAGAAAGTGAATTTCTTAATTCAGTCCTCATCTTTTTTTAAGGAGCGGTTAGGCGAGAGCTAGTGCTGTACTTGTCTATTTTATCCCTGTTTTCTCAAAATCCTGTGTTACCCGGATAGCTACAGCGAGGCAAGACCCTGAAGTTCAAGCGTCTGGAAGAGTTCCTGTGGGACAGCCGACGGAAGCACCGTGATGAGACACGATTGAGAAGACAGGCCGCACGACCTGCTCCTGTTATCCTACCCAACCAGAAACGCCTTGCCTTCGTTGTCCGCATCAGACAGTACGTCTTGAAGGGCATCAGTGCCACGTTCTCTAACTCCATTTCTTTCCCTTCCCTTTTTGCCTTTGGTGCAAGAAATAGTGCTAACATTAAATCCTAAAGACGTCCATTTTTTAAGAGATGTCTAATGTATTAAGAAATAAAAAAAATCACTCACCTGCATCTTACCAAGTTCTATAACAGCAAATTTTCCAATTTCCTTTATTTTAGTTGTGAAGTAAAATTAAAATCAAAACAGCCTTGCTTGCCATACACTGATATCTAGTGAATGAATGGTCATTTTTTAAAACAGACCTTTGAAGCTAACCACAAATCTTCTTTATTAGTTCTATCTTCCTGTGATAAGTAATGTCTGGTCAGAAGAATTGCTTTAAGTTTATCTCATCTGTGTGCAGGATTAGGGGTGTCAGCCTTAAGGTCATGAAGGTAATCCAAATGTTGCGGCTCAGGAAGATCTTCAGCGGCTCTTTTGTTAAAATCAACAAAACCTCCCTAACTATGCTGAAGGCTGTGGAGCCGTACGTAGCCTGGGGGTGAGTGAGAATATCCGTGGACTGTTTACGTTTCACTATTAAGGTTTTGTTAAGTCCTCTGGAGTTTTTAATGCCGGGTGAAATAGCTCAATAAGGAAACTGCAACACTATTTTCATATCTTGGAATTAGAAAGAATCAGCATTGATGAGTGCATTTCAAACTGCGATAAAAGTAAAATGTACACCATAACATTTACATCACAAAATAAATGAAATTTCCAGGTATGCGCAGCACCATATTCTGCGATTCAGAATGAGGTAACAAAACCTCCTGGGGCGTCTTCCAGCCCTACTGCATTGTAAAGAAGCAGACTTGTGAATGCATCTCTTTTAATCCAATAGAAATATTGCTCTCAATTTCAACACGGTTTGTGCTGACAAATGCCGCTTGTTAACTCTGCATGCAGATCACGTTGGAACGTTCCTGCTGTGAAATGTCTGCTGTACAACCTGTGCTTATTCGCTCGTACATCACATTACATCATTACAGTGAATACTGAGCAGGAAGGGTTGCTTCACCTGGCAATCCGTGAGAACTGTCGCTCTTACCCTTAAACCAAGGGTTTGCGACAAGCATGGCAACTTTAAATACTCTCATGAACTTCATGATGTTGTGCTTGATTTTAAATTTGTTGAATTTTTCTATAATGTCAATGAATTTATCTTGTTACCGAGATTTAATAACTGGTCTGAGATGTTCGGAGTGCATTTCCTCTCATGTGCCTCTGGTTCTTCCCAGCAGGGGGCACCCTAACACTTTATTTGGTTAGATTTGCTACGATATGGACTGCTCAAGCAGGCAGTTCCCAGAGCATTTCCCAGTCTTGGAAAGCTCATCTTATTTACTGCATGGGGTGTCTATGTGTAAATTGGTTGAGGATCCTTTGGGATGAAAGAACAAAAGGTTGGAATTTTTCTATAATTGGTGTATAACAGTCTTGGACTTTCTTTGCTTTTAGTTATGTTTCTGTTTGTTATAAAATTGTATGGACATATTTGTTATTTTATTCAAAGTGTTTGTATATATTGACTCCACAGCTATCCAAATCTGAAATCTGTGCGGGAGTTGGTCCTGAAGAGGGGGCAGGCTAAAATTGGCAAGCAAAAGGTTCCTCTGACAGATAACACCATCATTGAGCAACATATGGGTAAAGATGATGCTTATCATGTATCTGGAATTACGTGAATCCTATTAGCTAAATCCTAAACCTGTTGCTTGTACTTCTGTGATTTACGACAGGACCCCGAATAGAGCAATCCTGATCATGAACAATGTGAAGTTGGGAAGAAGCTTTAATCCTTTCACTTTATTAGGGAATCTGCCTGAAATCAGTCTTTCTATGGAAAAGGATTGGGCTGCACAATTACAGGGCATGCATATTTAATCCTGCTTAACACGTTATTGTGTTGTGGTTAACAGGTAGAACCCTCCATGTTATAGTAGGAAGATAAAAGATTAAGTACAAAGACTGCTGAAGAATTAATAAACATAGGCTTTTTAGTGTATTCACAACTTTAAGGAATGTCAGTGCTTTTTTTTCTCAAAAGTTAAGGTGGTTTCTGAAAGTGTTGCAGCCATGATCAAGCTGGCAGCCATAATCATTTTTGTTTTCAATGGCAATTGTTTGCCTTTAATAATGTGTTTTTAGGTAATAAAATTCAAATATTTAATGTCTTGATTAACTGCAGGGTTTATTTACAAAATCTTTTTATGAATGAACAGGACTTAAATGGTCTCTGTGGATTCTTCCAGGAGAGTCTGCTTGTTTGAGAAATTAATGTTTTTTCCTCCCAGGTCAGCACGGGATGATCTGTCTGGAAGACTTGATCCATGAAATCTACTCTGTCGGAAAGCACTTCAGAGAAGCCAACAACTTCTTGTGGCCTTTCCACCTGTCTGTGGCACGACATGCTGCTAGGGACAAGGCTGGCCTGCTGAAGGAGATTGGTGAGCCGGGACCTAGAGCAGAGGACATCAACAGAGTCATCAGGCAGCTCAACTGAGAGGTCAGTACAGAAAGCACGAGCTTTGGCACACAAAAATGATGTCATCACCTAACTGATTTTTCCTTCAGTTTTTTAATTTGTTTTGAAAGTTATTTTTTGTGTCTTAATGTTCACTCAATCGATGCATTGATTGACTTGCATTGAGCTAGTGTTTTTCATTCCATATTATTTATGAATTTTAAAGAAACTTACTGTGGAGATCCACTTTTAATTGAACAGTTTAGTAAATGTAGGCTTTTTGACACTATAGAAAGGTTTTAACTTAAAACATTCCTCTCACAAAACTCTTTGTTTTAGTAGTATACCTTACTGCTGCTTGACTTTTTAGCTCAAGCTTATAATACTGATTTTTTTGTTTAAAATAACCTCCATCCTATCATGCCTGTGTCTAGTTTCACTTGTAACACTCTTCTGTGGGGATAGGGCAGTATGATGTAGCTTTAATCTTTAATTTTATTACTTACAAATTTGGTGTTTGCCCTTAACTGTGTTCCCTTAAATCTGTTCCCTTGCAGAGAACTGCTGGCAATCCTGTGGTTGTAACATACAGGGTTGGACTGTACCATGTATGATCATACTACATACCGCTGGACCCTTTCTTTCTCAGTCGCCACACGAAGGAAGATAACTGAACATCGTGTGGTGTCCTGGAATCTCATAGGACTCTCCTTCATGCCCAAAGATAGTGGTGTTACTGAACCTCTACTCTCAAATAGAGGGAGTTTTATCACACTGAATCTTCTCAGTGAGAACCAGGTTTGACATTTATACATTGGAATGCTAATGTGAAATGTCTCACTTTGCCTTTTCCTATGGATCACCTGTCAAGAACTGTGACATTCTTGGGTTGGGTATTTAGTGGATGGCACAGCAGTGGACAGTGTACATGAATAACATTAAAATAACTGGTCCGAGTCAAGTGTGTATCTAGACCTGGAAATGTTTGAAATGTGTTATTAATTATGCTATGTTTTGTGCACATTCATACAGCCTGAAAAACGTCCACATTTTCTGTGTGGATGTTAATTCTAAATGCAGATGTTAATCCTGCCTTGGTGTCTCTTATCTCTACCCCGTTTTGTTTTGTGCTAGCTTGTTTTTGAAATAGTCAGATGGCCTCATGAGTTAGATTCAGTCCCATGAGGAATGTAATTAATGGGATTTAAAGGTCTTTGTAATTTAAAGGTATCTCATGAAATGTAAACATTATTAAAAATAGAGCCTTGTAACTTGTATTTTTGGGGTGGGGGATCCAATTTGGAAAGAATGGGGAAGAGATTCTCATGTGCCTCATTTTAAATGAAACCGTACAATTTCCATTTATCTTTATGTAGACCAGTGCGTTGTGTTGAGGTATTCTCTTCTGCCTCAGTGCTGTCAATGTGTCAGGTTCCCGATTGAAGTGGCTGCAGGGATGACCAGTAATTTATATGATTTAATGTTTGAGTAACAAGAAAATAAATAAAAGCTTGTTATATTATGTTCTTGAACAAAATACAGAAGGCCGTGCATATTTTGCATATTTGCATATTTTTACTGTTTCATTCTTAAAGATATGTGAGAATTTGTTGAAATGTTCATTCTCCCAGCTAAATGTTGCAACTGAAGAAATTATAACCAATGAAGAAAATGCACTTGAGTCATTTTAACATCGAGGTATTGTTTTTTTACATTTCCAGATTATGGAATGAATAATTTGGGCACTTCTTTGATTCCAGATTTCGTATTGGTATATCTTTCTACAGTTGTCATTGAAGAGCTCGATTTGCTCACAGAAGACAAGCTAATCTCCAAGTTTAGCAATCTTGGAATTTAATGAACTCCTAATTTAATAAATGCTACTTTACTCCTGTGTGTATTCTGAGAGAGCTGCTTATACCTTAAAACAAATTCAGATCTTGTGGAAATGTGTCTGGAGCATATGTGATGTTGCCAGGCAAGGGTGTGGGTGCCCAAGTTGTGCAACAAAATATTTATTTTGACTTTTTTTTTTCCCAGGCTTCTGTGCATGCCACATGAAATTCATTAAGCTCATTACTTAAATCTTGAGGAATACAATGGGAATTTTGAGAGTTAAAGCAAATCATTTCTAGAGGTTGTTTTCCTACATCCTTCATAAATGCAGCTTCGTTGCTAGTTTTCTACAAACCATGTTTAAGGATTTTTTGTTAATTACCATTTACTGTAAATTTACTCCTGTGTGGATTCTGAGAGAGCTGCTTATACCTTACCAAATTCTTTAGTAATACTTATGATGAATACTGTATGCTTCTGTTTTGATAATTGTTGCCAATATCAGTTTACATATTTTTTGTGATATTCAATATTTTATTTCTAAGCACTCAAATGAGTCAATTTCTCTGAAATCGTGGGGATTTTTCAGTTTCTGGATTACTTGACATGTTTTTTGAGCTGCCATTTATTCAATGTTCTTAGATTTATAGTTCTTATTTTAGCTATTAGTAATTTGACCAATTAACATTATTCACCTAATATGCTGTGTAATGAATTTTTACCATAATCATAATGAATCTGAAAGTTACTGAATGGTTTCACATAGAGATGAAGTTGTTTTTCTTTTACCATTTAATTTGAATGTTAGCTTGTCCTTGGTTATTCAACTGGTGTTTTCACATGTCTGCTATATAGCTTGGGAAAAAATGACTGGAATAGATTTTTTTGTAAATACTTTTCCTGATAGTTGATTTTTTATTTAAATACTTGGGGTTCAACTAAAACAGTTTTTAATATTCAGGATTTTTCACAAAAGAACATATCAAAGTATCAAGAATCAAGAATACTAAATTCATTCTTGGTACTAAAGTAATTATATACCACGTCTTGCTGTTACCATGTGATGGTTTAGCCTGGAGTGCTCAGACCCCCAAGGGTGTAAGATGTTCTTTTTGGGGTTGCAGTACATGCCAGATTTGTTCAGAAGGTAAGTCAATGAAGGCACAAATTAAGCACAGGTGTGTAAGTAGAAGTACTTTTTTTTCAAACCTATCTATTTATGGTAAACTTAAAAAGTATAATTTTTCAATATTCTTAATTTTGGTGTAAAATGAAATGATCTTTCATTCTATAGTTATGATTTATCTAAAGTTTAAAGAACAGGCCTACTTGCGTGGTTTTGATAAGGGGCGCAATAACATTTTGAGAAGCAATGGGCTGCAGGCTACAGTAAAGATTAAGAACCACAGGTTTAGTTAGATAGCTAGTAGGAGCGGGAGAATAAAAAAATGTAATTTGTTCAGATTAAGCCTAATTTGCAATAGTTTAGTACATTTTCAAAATACAATTGAATGGCAAAAATGTCATCCTTAATATGTGACACATCATTTAGCTTTGAACTTATATTATCATAGACTTGCCAACTAATAGTTGATTTATACCAGGTTGAGAATTTGAGCTCTTTAAAAATAGTGGTGAATTTGTTGTAGGTAGTTCTTGCTGAAATATTAGCGAGAACAAGATTTAGCTTAGTTTTAATTCAGGATAATATGGTGCTGCCTTTAGAAATTCAATATTGTTCAATTGTATTTTGGCTACTAATAAGCCACAGGTGCATTCTGGAACCTGTATTTACATATTTTAAAGAACAGTTGCTTTTTAAATCTGTATTCAAGTATTCATCAATGCAAGCAAAGATTTTAATTACCATTTTCGGAAATAATCACTTTATAATACTGGTATTTGATTCAGTTTTCAAATAATTGTTCATTTTCACTAATTAAACTATACCTCAAGTCTGTTCTGCTGCCAGTAGACTTAAATGCAAATTCGACTCCTCACTTTACATAATGTCCATCATAGAAGACCTAATGCTGTACTTACAGCCCCACTACACGAGATCAGGTGAAAAATAAAGTGCTTCATCACTCAAATTAAGGAAGGACTATAGTCTGTCGGTTTCTGTCAGTCTCATCTCATCCTGGAATTTAGTTGACCAGAGTTAATACCCCCAACTGTTACAGACAATGTAGTGGATTTTTTAATGACCAAATAGTCAGGCCCTTGCTTTAATGTTTCATCAGAAGGAAAACAATTTCTACCCTGCTGTCCTGGGTTACAGTTTTGGGACATTGGATTACAAATTTAGGTCTCAAGGGAAGAGTGCCCAGCTTTTAACTTCCAAGGTAAGAGTAGATCAGTCTGCAAGTTTGTAATTGTGTTGTCAAAAAGTTGCCTTTTCATACATGATTCTTTGCTTTTTGTCCAATAGAAAGATAATCTTAAGTAAGTTTTGTTTTAATTGCAAATAAACAATAATATTGATTTACAGGTGTAGCTTAAAATATTTACTTTTTTTTCATTTGGTAAAAATGGAAATTTTACTCCTATAATACGATTCTAAGGACCTTTTGGGTTGCTTGATTGCATCCAGAGTGGGTGTAAATGTAACTACAGTTTTTTCTTATGGTGCCACATTGCCCACATAACATAAAGGTATGATGGGGAAGCGGAACTCTTCTTTTTAACCAATGACAAAAAGGCAAATGATCTTGCATTGCGTGCATCTGTTGCTGTGGCTACTGTCGCTGACTGATTAGATCAGTTCTGATACACAATCTGTGCGACGGAAGAATAGTAGCACATGGAACTGCTACAATGTGTACGCACTGTCAAGGAGAGGGGGCGGTGCGTAGTCACTTAGGAAAGGCTGAACTTGAGATGGTGGAAGCTGGTGAGAGCAGTCTGTGTACCGGGAATGTTGCCCACGTATAAAAAGTCAGCCACATCGGTAGTATTAGTAGTACCGTGGAAGACTGCTCTGTGAGGAAAATTGTCGTGGGTGGCATCGTTGGACATACGAAGGGGCGACTTTACCAGGACACACTTGTGGTCAAGTGCTCTAAAGGAAATAAACGTGGTACGTAACAAGCGTGACTTAACAGAAGATAATTGATTGTATTGTTGTCTCTTATTGTCGACGGAAAACTGCCGAAAAAATCTCTGGGGCGATTAACCTATTTAGCTTATGTCGTTGCATCGTGTAACAACAATATGTTTTATTTTATAAATAATGATTTACCTACTGTACCATACATCATGTGGCCGTTTTGTAAAGTATTCTTTAATTCTTACGACTTGATTATCCTGAACATTCTTGTGAACTTAAGAAGGCTACAATTACAGCCAAATATAACCTACATGTACCTGTACAGATGTGCAGTGCTCACGCTAAAAATGGTTCCTCGTCGTTGTGAGTCAAAACACGATTGCAGAGGAACGAATCACCTCATGTAACCTACGCTTACATTGTATTGCACAACTACAGTTTGTAATGGTGTGGACATTGTGACATCCCATTTCTTTTGCACATTAACCCAGTGCAATCAGCATTGTCTGTCAGTATGCGCCGTGTTACTTATAACTATTTCATATCTTTAAGGATCTGACTGCATGCATTTTAATCTGAAAGTAAAGTAGTAGGGACATTGTTTAGAGGTTCATATATGCGACGCGAATATGCAGAGCGGGAAATATAAAATGCCTTGATATTCATGCAGCACACATCTTAACCTCTTCAAAAAAAAAATCTTAACCTCTTCAGAATGCGCCACTGTCGTTTTTTTTAAATAGGCCCACACACAAATGTCTTAAATTAGCTTGTTTCCAAGGCATATGTGTGATGGAGCTCACAGGTGCAAGCGTCGCCTTACGACCTTTCCAGATGCGTAACGTGCAGTAAATAGAGCAGCCAGTGCTCTTTTGTTTTTTTAAACTTTTTCGTTTGGAATATTAGCTACATGTAATTGTATCTGGATATATCCTGCAGAGCATCTATGTTTTACTGTACAAATCTCGGTTAGCAGGTGCAACGGCACTTGAGTAATACTTTAACTTGAACAGACTGATATCCATTTACTCTTTCAATAATAGGTAGATAATAATATTTATTTAAATCTACATATCCATCCAGCCATTTCATTACTACTGCTGATTCAGGGTCACGGGAGAGCCAGAGCCTATCCTGGCAAGCAACGGACGTCAGGCGGGGAATACCTGGACCCTGGATAGGATGCCAGTCCATTGTGGGGGACACACACCAGCGCCCATTTTTCCAGAAGCCAATTAAAGACATACTTAATTACAATGGGCTGTGTGAGGAAACCAGAGCACCCAGAGGAAACATAACACATAACACAGGAAGAACATACAAACTCCACGCAGATAGCACCCCAGGGCTCCAGTGCTGCGAGGCAGCAATGCTAACCTGCCACCCACAGAATTTTATCTCTGTTGGATTAAAGATCTTTATTTTTTTCCAAATATTTAAAAGATAGTAAAACTAGCAATCTGTAAAAAGCTTCCCATCTTTAAAATTTACTTACAGGTTCACTTGAACTGAATAATTTCCCGTATTTTTGCAGAGGAGAAGTGATTGTTATGTCCAGAATTTGCTTGAGGTTATGTGTTGTCCTTCAAGCTTATGGTATCATGATAAGAATTCTGGAAATATTCCATTGGGCATATACCGTGTCTTACAAACCAGATGTATCATACTTAACAGTTCAAGTGCTTAACATGGACTTCATGAGTACCATGACATTTTGGGTCTTTCATGTACCGCTTGCTTACTTTATAGGTGATTAATACACAGTTACAAATTAAATGTTCTTTTTACTGTATCTGAAATAAAGTCACAGATACCTTTTTTTCTCTTTTTTGTGGAAACATGCAGTTTCAGGTTTACTGAAATGTGTAGAAAATGTGACCATTGTCACTGTCATGTTGTATAGTAAGTATAGTAAGTAGTACTGAATATGCTGCATTCAAAAATAATTTTGCTACTGTGGTGAAAGTGTCTTAACTTTAGGCTTAGGATTTGTCCCAATCCTTGTCTTAAGGATTGCCATCTCTTTTCACAGGCCTGATTTTTACATTTTGATTTTTTTGCAGTCCAGTTCTGCTATGGTCACTTTCACATTTGCCTTTTGTTTGGAGGGTGTATCAGATTTGTGTGCCTGTTAACTCCATTCATGTGACTACAACATAAATAGCTCTTGGTTACATTGTAGTAAGGACAGGCTGCATTTCTAATGATAACATGCAATTTGCTCTCAGTTACTTGGTAACAGCAAAATACCCTTCACATGGGCAGGAATATTGCCAGAGAAAGGGAATAGCTTCTGTTGTGTGGATCTGCCTGGCTTGTATTGAGAAGACCAATGAATACAAAAGGGCCTCTCATGGGATGCAAAAAATCTCATAAATATGATATGATTCGAGCCTTAATTTAAAGATCTGCCTTCTGCAATTATTTCTTTTTTAATACCTTTCTAATTTAGAGTGGCTTGTTAATAAATTTGGCTTTTGATTTTACAATAAAGAAAAAAGTAAAGGTTAATCCCACACTGAAAAGTAAAAAGAAAAAACACAACATTTACAACGCTTACATTTAAGAGTAAGGTCATTAAAGTGCCTCACACCTGAAAAAGGTTGAACAGCCCTTGCTTAACCTTTTTGACCTTGACTTGTTCCTTTGCAGTCGTGCAGCATGCAGCATGCTGACGTGACAGTTGCAGTTCCGCGCGGGCTCGTGCCCCCCACCACCCGTTCTGTCCCGCACACCTGGGGCGCGAACCCGGGTCTCCGGCGTAACGCAACAGGGAACCAGCCGCATGAGCTAAAGGAGACCTCCCCCAGCCCAGGCAGCTGAGGTCCCTGCTACGCGCAATGAGGGCGATGATGTCACTGTATCCAAACCAGCTCCGCTACACTGACACAGCTCCACACTCAAACTACTCTTTGGTGACCTGGGACACCTTCTGTCCTTCAGACTGCTTGGTCATTACAGTGCCCATGACACTGTGTGTATGAGTAGGGATCTTAACATTGGATGGTAAAATTTATTTATGGACTTAGACACTCTGTCTAATTTAAAATTTCACCTTACTTCTGTTGGTGGAGCGGTTTTGTACTTCTCTGCTTGACTTGGGTCTTGAAACATAATGGCAGTCACTCATCATCACCCAGCTGGTGCAGCATTTCAGTGCTGGATGCAGTGGGTCCCATCTTGTACTGTATATCCATCGGGTTGGAAAATACTATTTAAATATGAGGAATTTTTATTGTTAATTCTTTGCCCATCCCCCAGAACTTACCGTCTTACATTTTCTACACCAGTTATATGATCTCAGACTCAGTTCCTGTCCAAACTAAATTGTTTTTTTCTGTTACACCTTAGCTCTCAATTACATTCAAATTAGTTAATGGGATGTATAATTATAATACTTCTAATAAGGCTCTGAAATATGTTACATGTAACTGTACCTATAAGGTCACTGTACCTTTAATGAGGTGAATTGTGTAAGTCACCATCTGCAAAAAACCTTAGGAAAGCTACTATAATGTGTAACTAAGTTAATAACTAGGTTAATTTTTAATTGACTACTAAGGTTGGAACAAAATTCAGATGACAGCCCACCAGAAATTCAGTCTGAGACCCCTGCTGTAGTAGTTCCCTATTACACTCAAATCTATTGTTGTTGTAAGGACGTGGCTAAGTCAAATGTGTTACCATGCCATTTGTGCATTTTTTTCATCAACCCTTGTCATAGCTAATGTGAGAATTAACCTATTGTAAGGAAATATTTGAAAAATGATTTTGTGTTTCTATCTGTGGAATTTACCCCCCTTCTGTTACCAAATGTGTTCCAACCTGTTTGATTAATCAAATAACACCCCTTTAATCCTCATGTGTATGGCAGGTCAATATTGCTGTTTCTTGATTTTTAAGAGCGCTGCAATGCCAGGTTTTAGAAAAAAATTCCAATTAATCTGGAGGCGCTGGGGGTGCTCCAGTGTCAGCCTCCTTGTACATACTGTACTTGCATCAGACTCTTGCTCAGAGTATAGCATTTAGCAGTGCTGTTGTCTTTATCACAATAGCATATGCTTCTGCTTTACTGAGTTTGCCACAGTGAATCCTATTCTAGCCCATCTTTCCCTCAACCTCAAGAGAAATCTGGATTGACTTGAAGGTAGAATGTATTCCCATCTGATGGAAACCTATTTCTTTTCTAATCTTAGTGTTAGGAAAGGAGGGTTTTCAAAACATTGAAATAGACTGCTAGGGGTAACTTTAAGAGGTTTTCCGTCTGAATATTCTTCTGCATTCTGCAGTTGTTCTAAAATATTCTTCCAAATGTACTTATTTCATCTGATGTGGAAGAAAAGAACTCCAGTTAAGGTAGTTTGTCAATATGTGTTCAGCTTATTAATTTGAGTGTATGGAAAACACTTTTTTGTCTGCTTCAGCGAGAGAAGTTTCAAAGAAAACACTACATTCAGGGGCATATTAAGTTAATAATGAACTTCATCACAAAGAATTAAGATAATTGGACTAACTGCCTTTCAGGAGTGTTCTACAGTTGTTAGTACTTAGTTGTTAATCTGAAAAACTGTGATTGCTTTCTAAGTACTTTCTTACATAATTAACCTGAATTAGTGCCCTTTAATGGGGCATGGGAAAGGTTGCATTCACCAATCTAGTTCTTTTTTTTCTTTATGATGAAAGAAATCCATTGAAAAGTATTTTCAAAACTTTTTTATTTGACCAATTAAAATTGTTACAACATCAATAAAATCTTAGACTGTACTGTATATACCGTTAGAAAGCTAGTGCATTTTTCCTCCTCGATATTAATTTTTTTAGGTTATTTAATAATGTGTGCATCACACTTCATTAAATCTGTGTGCTCAGCTCCACAATGGTGCAGTGGTTAGCATTGAACCCTGGGTTCAATTCTGGACCTGGGATGCTACCTGCATGGACTTTGTATGTTATCCTTGTGTTTCCTCTGGGTGCTCCTATTTTTTCCCATAGTCCATACTGGTACATTAATTGGCTTCTGGGAAAATAGC